CGTTATGCGTTTCATTGTTGACATTTTTATCTGTTGTAGAATCTCTATTTGGGGATTCTACATTCAGAAGGTCGGGGTTGAGAGTCACTGATGTTGCATTATGAGTGGTTGTCTCTTGTGGCACGGTAAAATTTGTTTGAAAATCTCTTGCTGTTTTTGATTGAGGGGGAGTGGTGAACATTTTGTTTGTTCTTGACTGTGATCTTGTTGTCGCTCCTTTTGGTGGGATCTTCTTCTTTTTAGTCATTAAAAAAGAGTATTAAATTCGCAAATGTTCATTAGAAGAAAAAATTATGACCTTTAAAATTAATTCAGAGAAGAAAAAAAATTGTATTCTATTTTTATTTATTTCCCTTTTAGTCTTCTTTTGCTACTCTTTTTTTTGTTTAAAAAAAGGAATTTTATTTGTTGGTTCAGAAAAAAAAATTTGAAATAAAAATTTATTTATTATTTTTTCTTATATTTATTAATTATTTTTTTTAATTAGTTCAGCAATAAAAAAATAAAAAAAATAAATTATTTAGACCATGATGATCTAATTTTTAGTTAAAAGGAACAAAAAAATTTTTAATTAAATCTTGATTAATTTACAATGTGTAATTTTGAAATTTTAAATATTATAATTTGAAAGAATTTTATTTCCTAAGAAATGACTAAACCCTGCGAAAAACAATGTTGAGCTGTGAGTGTAAGTACAGCTGTGTTTTGATCGCGTAATCGAACAATGAATTCAGTGTTCTCTTGAGGCGACTTCTAGTCAGCATTTATTTTATTTTCTAATTAAATAAAAATTGCCCATCGTAATTCTTATCACGAACAGCACTTGAAAATTTTCAAAATTTTACAGAAAAAGAAAAATTATAGCGAATTTTGTGTAAAAAAAGATATAGTAAGCGAAGTTTTGCATAACAAATAAATTTTTCACATAAGCGAAGTTCTACATAAAAAATTATAAACAAATTTTTTTTACATATGCGTAATTCATATTTCTTAATAGCTACTCGATTTAAACCATATTTTTCATTTTTGTGGTTATGAGTGCAGGTAAAACGTATTTTTAAGAGAAAATGTTTTCAAACAAAGTTCCTAACTCCATTTTCCTTAATCTTAAACGTAAAAACATGTTCACAATTAAAATAGAATTTTATTTCAAGGAGGAAAATGAGTTTTATTTTAAGATACACATTAATTTCCATTTAAATTAAAACTATCTTGGTTTTTAAGACTGATTAAACTTACGAGTAATCTTTATAGAAGATTTTATTTTTACTGTGATGATATCCTTATTGATATCAATCGTTTTATACTCAGAAAAGCTACTCCAAGAAAGAAAACATCTCTGTGGCGAAAGAAGGACGAAAATCGTAATTGGAAAAAATATCGAAATTAACAATTTCATATAAATTTCAAAATTTTTATAAGTACCTGACAATTTTACTTAATTCTTTCATTTTCGAAAATTTACAATACTTTACAATACTTTACAACCCTTTAAAAAACACCCCCTTACATTTGCCTAAACCTACATTCATCAAAATTCCACCCGGGATCGTTCAAATATGTTTTTTTCTTCAAGGGCACCACCCAGATTTCTTTTCTTGGATAGCTGAAAATGTAAATTTTATATGGGGGAATGTTAAATAATGATCGCTGAAAAAGTATTATAAGAAAATTGATGATTTTCAAAAATCAACAAAAATGCAGTTACACTTATGAATAGCTCATTATCTCGCATATCACAAGTGGCACATTTGTCTAATACACATTTTTTAATCCTTCAGAACCCATAAAAGAAAGTCAAAAAACCCCAAGCATTAAAAACGATTGCTCAAAAAGTTATCGTTAAATGAAAATTAGATTTAATGCGAGTTACATCAGGATTTTCTCTATTTCTTTGATTTCAGTGAAGAAATATGTTGTTTAAATATCTAATTTTGCCTAATCAGACCATTTTTTATTTTTCACACTCGTGAGTAGTATGGACAACTGTAAATTTAATGTGAATTGGCAATTTAGAGGTTTTTTGCGGTACCGATATCGCAGTACGCAATTCGTAACCAGCTCGTGAGATTTCCACTTATATTTTATTACAAAGGTAAGAGCACATTTGGAGCTATTTTTGTGACAGCCCTGACGCGACATTTACTTTATAAAAAAGAGAATTAAGACGGGTTCGACTCGCGACAAAAGCACAATGTACACTAGCACAATAGTCTATGAGAGTTCTCCAGCTGCGAATATACTGGTGGCAGAGAGCAGGAGAACGAATGATCATAAGCACTGTAATATTGAATGGTCATCAAAAGATGAACTTACCGCTATTGTTAGCTCTCTGAAATGTAAATCCAAACTGTTGAACAAAAGATAAACGTGCAGGACACAAAACAAAACACTAGATTGAACTCGCGGAAAATGTTAAAAACATATAATTTATTTAATTTTAATTTACAAAATGGAAAATTCGAAGACAAATTATTCTTAAAGTTCGCAATGATCCGATGTTATACGCAGCTCGCAACAATCTGTTGATCGGCATCGTTTTTCTCAACACGCAGTTTTGTAGTCTGCTCTCTCAGCTGCGAGAAATATCGCATCGATACGCGTCTATCGCGAGATCGATAATTCGATCGTCGATCTTGTTGAGCGGCAATAACGATTCAAATAATTTATTCGGTTCGTTACAACGTTTTAAATATCAAAATTTCGAATTTCAATTTTTTGAACATTTTGGGTCGTTTGACTGGCTTTAGAGCGTCCAGTCGAGCGCTCGGCGAGTTGTTCCTCCCGACTCCTCAATTAAGTTATTATAATAATTGGATATACTTCGAAATAGGGGTACTTCCGATTTTAATAAAACTTAGTATACTAACGTATTTTAGTGAGCTGATTACGAAAGTGTTTTAGTAAAAATTGGGGCAAATTTGATTATCCTGGCAAAAACCATAAAAAACACCATAAAATCATGTTTTTTTTGCGATTAATTTGTAAAAAAAACGCAAAATTTAAAAAAAATGTTTTAGACAAAAGTTGTAGGTCTCAAAAAAACACATTTTACGTCACATACATTTTTTACCAAAAGTGATAATTTTTTGAGAAAAATACACAAAACCATAAATAACTTAAAAAGTTATGGAAACACTGTTAAATTTAATTATATTTAACATTGTGAATTGACCTTTAGGCTATAATGGTTAGTTGATGTGAATGGAACTTCATGCTCTTGCGGCTGTATGTGTGAACTTTTCTATATCTGCATCTGCCATGATTGTGTCAAAATGCTTAAGACTTTGTTAAACGCAATAGTTGTCAGTCGAATCGTACAAAAGGTGAATTAAACTGAGTGCTAATATTTCAATAATCTATCGTTTGTCTGACCTGCTTTTTATATTATGTTTATGTGTGTTTGCAGGCGCCTTTTTGTACGGGACTTTAATTCTTTTATAACTTGCACATTCTAACCTCAAATAAAATTTTCATAATGAAAGTCTATTTTTCGTTCTTTATCCTCACATACTGCTAAAATTATCATCAAAAACAGTGCGGAAAAAATCAGGTGGGTTCAACATGATCCCACCCGCATACATCGTTTTCTATGTATCATGATGTACGCGGACTTCGACAACGTAATGTACAGTTCTATTTGCGTTTTAAAGAAACCTTGGAAGGGGGGTCAGATACAATAACTGTGGTTGGTATATTATGTATTAATTTTGAAAGTGTTTTATGGTTTTTAGATTTTTCTCGAAAAATAATCCTTTTTGGTAAAAAATGAATAGGACATAAAATGTGTGATTTTTTGAGACCTACAACTTTTGTCAGAAACATTTTTCGAAATTTTGCGTTTCTTACAAGTAAATTGCAAAAAACCATCATTTTATGGTGTTTTTTATGGTATTTACAATGACAATAAAATTTGGGCCAATTTTCCCTATTATTTTCGTAATCAGAGCACCAAAATACGTTAATATACTAAGTTTTAATAAAATTAGAGGTAGGGTCAGTTGGTGTAAATGGGGACAAGAGGTTTTGGGGCTTAATTTACAGTTTTAAAATTAAGTTCAACGTAAATATTTTAACCTCAGATCACCTGCAAGAGGTTTTGAGTATTGCGAAGCTTTTATCTTGACAATTGTCAGCAAGATAATTTAAGTTATCGATCAATGCATAAAACCTTGAAAATCAAAGTCAACCTGTTTCAGTATTTTGTCTCGTATTTCAAAGAAAACAGACTTAAAAATCATACCAAATTTTTTGCTTATTCCTTATGATTCCTATAACAGAAATTCACTTGAATTTTTGATTTTTATTAATTTGGTTAATAAAGACGAGCTGTCCCCATTTACCCTAAAAATTTGAAAATTCAGGGTAAATGGGGACAGCTTGTCATTATTAACCAAATTAATAAAAATCAAAAATTCAAGTGAATTTCTGTTGTAGGAGTCATAAGGAATAAGAAAAAAATTTAGTATGATATTTAAGTCTATTTTTTCAAATGCGAGACAAAATACTAAAATGAAAAAAATAGAAAAAAAAATAAAAAAATTTCAATTGGTTCAACTGTTATATATCTACTACAAATTTTTTTAAAAGTTTTTTCATCCCTTAATACAGTAATATACTTCCGGAAACTTTTTTCTTAAAAGTTTCTTAGAAACTATGCTGTCCCCATTTACCCCAAATTTTATGAAATTTTCTAAATTTTGGGGTAAATAGGGACAGTTAGTTTCATGCGTTTAAAGCTTATCTAAATTTTTTTCTGCTGCATAAAATTAATCCTGGGAATGTAAATAACAACTTAAAAACAAATAAACCAGCAAATATTACCTTTTAAAGGAAGAAACTTACGTAATTTGTGAAAAATAGCGATTTTGTCCCCATTTACCCCAACTGACCCTACCTCTACTTCAAAAATACACCCTAATATTTATTTTTTTATACTTGTGTAAAATGAGAAAGTTTTTATTTTTCAATGTGAAAACAAAATTCATAATTTTCTGTAGGACTTGCTTTATGTTTCGTACGCAACAGGCAAAAGACATTAAAGTAAATACGTTTATTCGTCCTCTAGCACCGAACTGCTGGTGTTTCTTATTAATAGTGATTATATTGATTTGTGCCGAGTTTTTATTTTTCTTAAATCATGAAAATTTACAAAATTTTTGGGAGAAGTTCTCTGTTGCAGTTCTTCTTTCAATAGGATCGTTATGTCAACAAGGTATGACATAAAAACATATTTTTCATAATATTAAGAATATTTAAGCAAAAGTCGTGATACATTTAAAATCGTTAACCTTCGCACCCTCCATCAAAAGTGTATACTGTATAATGAATATAAGCTTAAACTGTCCGACGTACAGTTTGTAAAGAAAAGTAAGTATTAAACAAATAGATGTGTTTAAAACTGGCTGATATTTCTTACTCGGAGGTTTTTTGAGTCGCTGACAACGAATCTGAACTTAGTTATTCAAAATGGCGGATCCAATATGATAGACGTCTTTTGAAAAAATTGATCCAATTGGCCTGAAATTTGTTACTCGGGGGTTTTGTGGTTCTCTGATTTCAAATCTGAAGTTAGTTTAAAAAATTCAAAATGGCGGATCCAGTATGGCGGACAAAATTTTTAAATAACTTATCGGTTTTTAATATATTTTGACGGTTTTAAAAAAATGTTTGGATTTCTCAATATTAGATTACACATTTTGATTTTTCCAAATTTGATTAGAAATATAATAATGTGAAGCATTTTTCGTCAACGCAACGGGACCTCCCAGCTCTCCAAAAATAATTTATGTTTAAATTATCGGGCATAGGCTTAAAATTTAGGTAAAAAGGAATACTTTTAAATGCCGATTGGCACTTTTTGAAAATTAAAAATGGCGGCTGAAATATGGCGGGCGAATTTTCAAAAATTAATTTAATTCGCTTGAAATTTGTTACTCGGGGGTTACTCAAAATTAAATATGGCGTATCCAATATGGCGAACAATTTTTTAAAAAAAGATTGGATTTGCTTGAAAATTGTATCTCTGGGGTTTTTGTGGTCGCTGATTACGAATCTGAAGTCAGAATTCAAAAATTCAATATGGCGGACGAATTTTTAAAAAGTTCTTGGAGTTGCTTGAAACTTTTTACTCGGGGGTTTTTGGGGACGCTGATTACGAATCTGAAGTCAAAATTTAAAAATTCAATGTGGCGAACAATTTTTTAAAAAGAGATTGGATTTGATTGAAAATTGTTTCTCGGGGGTTTTTGTGGTCGCTGATTACGAATCTGAAGTCAGAATTTCAAAATTCAATATGGCGGATCCAGTATGGCGGACGACTTTATTTAAATGTAATTTTTTTAATGAAAATTGTTACTAAGGATGTTTTAGAGTAGTTGATTTTAAATATAAGTTAATTTTTAAAAAATTCAAAATATTTTATCACATATAACAAACGATTATTTTAACTTACATAATTTACATGATAAATATTACTTACAGGTTTTTAGGTTATCTGATTACAAATATAAGGTCAATTTTCAATAATTCTTACCGTGTAAAATATATCGGACGATATTTTTTAATTTCATGAGATTTTCGTAAACTTGAAAATTTTGAAAAAAGGTTTCTGTGTTACACAGATTTGTCACTGTTATATCTTTCTAATGTGAAATCTTAGTACTATAAGTATTTGAAGAGCAACTTGTACCAAATAATAATTTTCTAGAAAAAAATAAATGTACTGATTTTTTCTACTTAATAATATACCTGAATATTCTCACAGTATTGATTCTCGGAAAATTCCCTAGAAATTCCCTGACCAGTATCGGAAAAATGGATTCCCGAGAAATTTTCTGTAATTTTCGTGAAGTTTCTTGCGAATATTTTTATATAGAATTGAATGTCACAAATATTACTTTTCCGATTTTTATATACTAAATTTTCTGCTTTGTAATAATGAATATGATTTTAATTTCGCAAGCCTATGACAGAATTCTGCAAAAAAATCTTTAGAAGAAATTGAGTATTTTAATCAATTTGCATAAACTTTAACTGGTATTTACACAAGACATTATTCTGCTATTAATGTCGCTTTTATAAAATTCAATACAATTTCATACTGTTGCATTCGTTGATTATTGTCGTATTTTAGTGTTATTTTCGCTAAAAGCCTTTTACAGAATTCATTTACTTTGCTTTTCTATAGAATTATTTAAAACAACTATAAATTTCTTGGCAAACTTTTTCAAACTTCAAGGTTATGGAACAACAGTTAAAATTTATAATCTCTGCGCGTCATGTAACATAAAATTCAAAAATTTTTATTTCAGTCCATCTATAATTTCTTAAAAATTAATTTCTTCTTTCATTCTTTATTTTAAATCATCAGAATTGAAACACGAAGTTGTAGAAGTGCTTCCATTGGATTTATTGACTTATTTTCATTCTCTTTTATAACTTCAATCTTATTTCTATACGAAATTTTTAAAAATCCATTATCGTTACAAATTTTTGAACCTTCTGGAATATTTGAAAAATTAAGTTTCCGATTTTTTAATAAAACACGTAAAATTGCAAAAATCTAAAATAAAAAAAATTCTTAAAAATGAATGTTCATTTGTCAAGTTGACAGTTATTTGTTTAATCTGACAACTAAACATTCATGTTGTATGTTTAATCAATTTTGTCACGAATAAATTTTGATTAAAAAGTAATAAATAAAACAATTTTTTTTGAGTTTATTTTCTGATTTTGTATTATTTGACTTGTTTATTTAAAGTGTTTAATTGTTTATTTGAAGTGTTTAAGATATTTTTCAGTTTTGTCTATAAAATGCCAAAAGTTTTATCAAATACACATTTTGATAGATGTTGTAATCCTTATGGTCAGGATGGGCATACAGGCAAGGGATTACGTGTTTAATCAAAGAATTTGAGACTTAAATTTCCGAATATTCCGGAAGGTTCAAAAATTTGTTGTCATTGTAGAAGCTTGAAGATTCCGTCTAGAAATTAAAAACGGAAATGTCGGTAAATATAATAGTAAATGATGCAAGAGGTTGACCAAGAGATAGAGCAAATAGTGTTATTAGTGGTTATTGAAATGTCAAAACAAATAATTATTGACAGAATGTAAACAAAGAAATTGCTAAATGGAAGACTGTGAGACAGTTTTATTCAATAAAGAAATTAAGGTAAGTAAAACAATTTCCCTTTTAATAATTTGTATTGTAAATATTAGTATTGTTATTTTGAAAATTTGTAACAGTATTTTTAATCATTTTGTCTAACCTCAAATTAAAAATAGTAGAAAACAATTTCCAATTTTTTTTTTGCAATAAATAATAAATAAAGAGTAGAATTTATTATTTTTAATCGAAAAATTATTGGAAACTTTTAATCTATTTATTATTAACATATTTAATGAATTTTATTTTGTGAATTAAATTTGTAATTTATTTCTTAATTATTTTTATAAATACACAGTGAATTAAAATAAGATACAACAAAAAAATATAACAATAGAATTTGTCTATTTTAAAGTCATTCAAGGTTTTTTCTCAATTATTTAAGCGCTAATTATGTTGTATCAATCTTGAAAGCACAATTTTTCTATGTAATTGTATTGATTAATTCTTTTAAATCGTAATTTAGTGGAAAAGAGGATTACATAATATATTGTCAGAATTATGTTTAATTTTTTGTTTTTGTAATTGAAATTTGAGAGATCGAAACTCAAAGACAGTTTTGTTATTTGATAGAACCGGAGCTCAGTGACAATTTTTTAATTTTAAGTTTTAACGCACTACAATAAATTATTTTGAAATATACACGCAATAAATTAAAGCAAGATGTATAGTCATAGAAGAAAACATTAAATATTGAAACTGTTTTATTTTCAGGTCATTTACGTTTCATTTTAAAGCGTATGAATACGCTTAATTGTCGCTGTTTTGAAAATCGTGGAAATGAATAGTATTGTTTGTGGAAATGATTATACAGTTTTATTTTTTTAAAAAACAGTTACCTGGATAAGTAAAAGGTATTTTATCAATATTTTTTTCAATTGTTGTTTTTGGCATTAAAATTTGGTAAAAATACCCAATTTGAAAGAAGATTTCGTTCTTTGATGCAACCGGCACTAAGTGGAAACTTTTTGAATTTTTAATTTCAATAAACTAGTATAAATTATTTTGAAAAATGTACCCTGAAATGAAATACAATATGATACAACAATACATTTAACAATGAAATTTTTTTCTTTTACAATAATGCTCGTTTTTCGGTAATTAATTAATTAATTCATTCATAATTTTACATTATTATTATAAAAGAAAAATATTTAATGAATGACAGCAATACTGAACATATTGTCGGAATTATTTTCATTTCTTCTTTTTGTCATTAAAATATAAATGACCGAAATTGGATTTTTTTATTTCCAATTTAAACGGATTATGTGAAATTATTTTAGAAACCACACATTCTATAAATTATCAAAAATTTAATGACTTTTTCAGGTTGTCCAGGCTAAAAAATGGAATTTTTCCATTTTTTTTGGCAAAAGACAAATTTATAAATTTATCAAGGAATAAAAATATTTGGGTACACTGAGAGAAGTCCGGGAACTAAGATCTCCCGCTAGACGTCGCTCTGAGCTATTCTGGTTGTCGCGCTAGAGTTGTTTCGTAATCGGGTGCTGTTGAACATTGCTCCCGCATTTGCGGGAACAGATGTGTTCCGAATTGCGGATATCAATTACGTCTTGAAATATAATACTAAAAATAAATAACAAGCGGATTCTTTTTCGAGTAGGGATTTGGAATAACTTATTAGGGATACTTATCCCCGCAACATAACCTCAAAATTAAAAATAGTTTTTATTTAAATTAAAAATATATTAAAAATTAATTTTTTAATTAATTAATTAATTCACTTTTTGTGGATTTTCTTAAAAATTACCTACAAATTGTAATTTTTAACCAATTTTTATAAAAATAGCTCATTTTACACTGAAAGTTTCTCTACAATTCTGTTCGTTAAATTTTGGTAACAAAATTTTGTTCAAAATTTATAAATAAACAATTCTTTATTTTTTTAATAACTTTTGAACAAAATATTTTCAATTAAATTCAACGAACAAAGTTGGAGAGATTCTTTCAGAGAGTAAAATAAGCTTTTGTTTATTAAAGTTGGATAAAAATTACGATTCGTAGGTAAACTTTTAAGAAAA